ACGGTATCCTCAGCACTCTTCTTATTCATGGGTGGTGGTATTTTGTTCACATACAAAGTGGCATTTGGAAAACTGGGTTTGCAATTTGAACACAGAATATTTAGAGATTCTTCTTTTACTGAAGAGTTTTGTTTTGTTTTGACAATGTAGACTGGACAGGCTTTGGAAGAGTTCATTTTTGAACCTATTAGTAGTCATTATGTCCATATGGAACATGGCGAGGGTATACTGGAAGATGAAGTCCAAGTTGTTGTCTTTTTAAAGGACATTTCCAATCTCAAGTGTTGGATGGTGAGCCCTGGGATTCCTGAGAACTAACTGTTATTGATCTTGATGAGAAATTCAATAACAGCAGACAAACAGCTCTGAAAAGCAGCTTGTTCTCTCCCATCACATTAATGATCTTTGCCTGACATCCTCAAATCCTCCAAGACTGGCTCTAGTGTCAGTTTGTTTGCTTTTTCTTTAAATTGTTTTAACCTCTTCTTTCAACTTTCAGGGCAATGCACAAAATATTTTAAAACAGTAATAATGAAAGACACAGAACAGTGAGGAAAATCAGGGGGCTGTCGTCAGGCTCAAATGGTTGCTGGCTTTCCCATACTGGATGAATTAGGTGCCCTCAATAGCACCCAGGGACTCAGAGCTGACCCAAGACATTTTGCTGCCTGAGGTAAAAGATGGTGCCTTCACCCCCATGTCCAGTTTCATGTGTAGATGCAAAATGAGCTGCCAGTTGAATAGTATTTCAGTATGGTGATGGGAAAGTATTATTCTCCTCAATTAAAGGCTAGTGGGGGGCAGGAAGGGACATAAAAGATACAGATAAAAATCTGTACTTAGGACAAGAGGCAATTGTTAGAAAAGAATATGGAAAAACAGAATGGTTCCCAATGGTCAAAGGGGTCAGACAAGGCTGCATTTTGTCACCCTACTTGTTCAATTTGTATGCAGAAAATTTCATAAAAAGAGAAAGCTTAGAATTGGGAAAAAAAGGAGCAGCAAAAATAGGAGGAAGGAATATCAATTATCTAAGATATGCAGATGACACCATACTACTAGCAGAAAACATCATGGACTTGGAACAGATAAGAAAAAAATGTGGGACCTTAAGTCACATTGTCCTCAATGTTGGGCATAACATGTGTGTGGCCATGTGCACACACCCCCATTGAAAGCAACGGGGCTTCCCTTCCCTGGATGCTTAAATCCGCAGATGGCAAGCCTGCAGATACTGAGAGTCCACTGTACTAAAGAAGGCCAAAGAAGAAAGTGCAAAGGTAGACTTACTGCTGAACATAAAGAAAATAAGAATAAAGACCATGGAGGATCTACACAAATTCAACCTAGAAACTGAAATAGTAAAAGAGTTTGCATACCTTGGATCAATCATAGATCAGAATGGGGACTGCAGTTAAGAAATAAGAAGAAGACTAGGAATGGGGAGGGTAGCTATGAAAAAACTAGAGAAGATCCTAAAGAGTCAAGATATACAACTGAGCATCAAAGTTAGAAGTATACAAGACACTGTATTCCCCATTGCCATGTACGGTTGCAAGAGCTGGATGGTGAAGAATGCAGACAAGAAGAAAATCATTTTGAGATGGGGTTCTGGAGAAGAATACTGAGGATCCCACGGACAGCCAAAAAGACAAACAAATGGGTCTTGGGACAGATTAAGCCTGAACTCTTCCTAGAAGCCAAGACAAGGTTAAAATATATATAAAATATAATTCCTGTATTTAATATTTGCTCTTCCTCTGGTAGTGACCCTGTTGGGGAAGGTTCACTACTTCATTTTTGTTTTCTCTGTTTGTATTATTATTTATTAATATGTGCCTTCAGGTTGACGCTGATTTATGGTGACCCTATCCTAGGGTTTTCTAGGATTTCCAGGGCGAAATTTATTCTGAAGAGGTTTCCCACTGCCTTCCTCTAAGGCTGAGAGAGTGTGACTTCCCCAAAGTCACCCAGTGGGTTTCCATAGTTGAGTTGGGATTCAAAAACTGATCTCCTAGCAGGGTGACCAGATGTCACAACCTCAGAGGAGGACAAGGCACCACAAAATGTAGGACACTCAGGGGAAAAAGCAGCACACTATAAAATGAAAGCTAAAAACGCTAATATATATGCAAATTTGTGCTTCTTAGCCATGCTCAAAATGGAGGACATTTTGAAATTCTTCCTGGACAGAAGGTTGACATGTAGGGCATGATCTCGGAAAGGAGGATGCCCAGTCATCCTGACTCCCAGAGTCTTAGTCCAACACTAAAACCACAACACTATGTTGGGTCTTTCTAACTGCATAAACCATCTAAATATATTCTTCATCTCCAGTCTGATCCACAGTGATGGAAATGCAGGGGAATTACATTCCAGGTGTTCCTCCTCGCCTCCCCCCTGCCATGATTTTTCTTTCGTGGAGGACAGATGTCTACGGTCCAAAACACACTGCAGAAATAATCCAGTTTGAGACCGCTTTAACTGCTCAATGCTAGGGAAAAC